TGATCTAGGTAACAATGTATTAATATGTCAAAAACTTTGGGCCTGAAGACAATATATATATGACTGAAAATGAAAGGGTTAATGCTGTGAGACAAGTGTTTTTTGAAAAAATCCCAACACGAACTTATTCATCCAAGGAAAGTGTCCAGGCTTCAAGACAGAAAAGGGATTGTTTTCCCTTTGCACTAATGCATCAGGTTTTTCAAGTGTAACACATGTTTTTACCACTAAAACCCTTTGTCCTTTGAAAGGGTTTAGATAAAAACCCCTTTACCAAATTGGAGGTCAAACCATTGGGCATGGATGAGAGGGGAAATATTTGTTGACTAGTTTAAGCACACTTTTTTCCCCTAAAGTCAATTTTACCTGCACACAAGAATCTTGCATTCAAGGCTCTTTTCATTCTTGATTATTCCCATACTCCCACAAGCTTTTTTGGAGTGACCCCACATGAAAAATTTATTTTTACCCCCAAAATAAAACATCCCTAATTCCCAGGGATTGGGGAGTTATTAAGTCTTTCCCAGGCGCTACACAAAAAAAATTATGAAAAAACAGTTGCATCAATGGACTCTGACTCCAACTTGACGTCCCAAGTTTCGGAATAAATTTAACATTGAAGCCGTCAGCTATGCTAGAAGTGCATGGAATGAAGTGCCCCAATTAACATTAAATGCAGGCTGGGGAAAGTTATGGCCTTCTGTAGTTAATTCTTTGACTGTTTTTTCCATGTTCAGGAAATTGTTCAGCTGGCAAGGAGATAACCAGGTGATGGTTTTGAAAAAATGAAAGAAAAGTAATGAGCCTTAGAAGAAGATGAAGACAGGAGTTCAGAGGAAATGTTGATAGAGCTCAATGCACAGATACAAGGGAGCCAGATAAAGGAAGAAGATGAAGAAGAACCTGAAGAAAAACAGTTAACATTGCAGCAGTTATGTGAGCAGTTTTCCCTAAAACATTATTGCTAAATTACAGACTTTTTCACTAAGAGGAATCTTTGAAAAAGGGGGCTAGACCAACTGAAATGCCTTTAAAACTGGTTATAATGTACTACAGGGTAAGGGGCCCAGAGTCCATTACAGAATTTATGCACACTCCAATACAAACCCTCAACTTTAGTACCAGAACCTCTACCATCCACTTTTTCCGACAACCCCAAAAACCTCCCCCTCACCCCATAGGGGCCCCACCATCATATCCACTCTCTTTGCAAACATCCACAAACACCATTACCCACAATTTTTGGTAAAAATAGTGTTTTAAGGGCCCCCGGTTATTGGGCCCTTTTAGTTACGGGCCAACTTTGGGTTTTTGGCCGTTTTTCGGCGCCCATTATCGGCCATTAATTCGTCATCGGGGCCTTTGGGGGGGCATCCTCCGCTGGCTGGGGCCGCTTGCCGAGTCAGTTTGGGTTCTCTCTGGCGAGTGAGGAAGCTCCGCTCATTCATCCAAACTTTTTCTATAATCCATTTTTTTTTGTATTATTTATCAGTAAACTGCAAAATAAGCAACCATGGGCCCAAAAAAACACTTCATAGTATATGAAAACATGCAATGTTTTTATGCGATGTATATTTTTAAAAATATATTTAAGACAGAACCCACAGGGATAAAAACCAGACCAAAAACTTAAAACATTCCCCCGGGCCCCACTAAACTTTACAAAAAATTTAATTATTCAAAGGGCCCCAAAATCGGGAAAGCCTACCGAAACTCTAGAACTGCAACACATTCATCACCTTTAAAAATCCTTAGAAAACACTTATCTCCCTGAACACCCCGTCAACTAACTACATGAAAACCACCTGGGGTTCACACTTAACCACTCACCTTTTAAACCCTAAACAGAAATATTAATCTCAATCTTAAAATAATGAATCCTTATACTCCAATACAAACTATGTACTGGGCCAAAACAAAAACATTCACATTGCTAAACCACAAACTATATTTAGCACTTTCCAAAATACCAAATTACCTCTAATTTGTAATATTTTAAAATTAAGAATTAAACTAAGTCGCCCAAATGCCCAGCCATGCTAGTGTTCTATGGGACACTCTGTAACATTTTTTTACTACATGTAAACCACACAAAAACCAATTTTGTAAACTCAGCATTGTAATCCTTATAGAGAATAAACTTTGAATTGAATTGAATAATCACTGGTACATTAAATGTCTTATTTACGTTTAAATAGACATTTTCATTAATCCATTTATTATATCTTTTTCAAAATTATATAAGAAACTGTTAATACATATTAACACGCATTGTTTATTATATGCAATTAATTTTAAAAATCACTCTTACCACATTAAATGTCTTATTTTACGTTAATATAGACATTTTCATTAATCCATCTATGATATTTTCTTCAAAATTATATAAGAAACACGTTACATATCATGTAGCATATTAACATAGCATGTTATCGAGTGGAGAGTGTGATGGAGAGTAAACATTACGTTTTCTCTGATGCAGTGTTAGAGAAAACTGTGAATCTGGTGACTGGTGCAGTAACCGCCCTTCATATGCATTTGTTTACAATACTTGACATTTATTTTTTATTTATTTATTTACAATTTGAGCACACATACAGAGGTACAAAAAAATACAGATAAGAGCAGCATGCCAAAGCCACTTATACTATGCATAACATTACGGGCTGGCTTAAAATTAACTTAAGATTAACTAAGCAATGATGAAATCAGTGATAAAACATTAATGTAAACAGATTACTATAAAGCACAAGTGAGTATTACAAAGACAGGTCATATGGTTGCATGCATTGTTGTACATTCAGTCGTATGGAGTATTCTGTTAGGTAGTGTATTTAAAAAATAACAAAGTTAGATGGGTCCTTAGTTTTAACATTTATGTGATATAATTGTGGAAACATTTAAATATACAATTTATAGGTTCAGTTATTCAGTATTTATTTGGTTTTGGTGAGTAATGATCTTTGAGAAGAGACTTGAATTTATAAACAGGTAGTGTTTTTCTTTATATTTACAGTAATGAATTCCAGATTTTAGGGCCTTTTATGTGCATTGAGTTTTTGCATAGCGTGAGATGACACGAGGAACATCAAAGAGTGATCTATGCCTTGTGTTATGGTCATGTGTTCTGTTGAGGTTGGCAAGGAGATGTTTGAGGGAAGGGTTAATATCAGAGTTAAGTGTTCTATGTATGTAATAGGTGCAGTAATAAGTATGGATGTTTTGTATGGTGAGTAGGTTTAGTGTTTTGAATATTGGTGGAGTGTGCTGCCTGTAGTGGGAATTTGTTATTCTGACTGCAGCCTTTTGTTGGGTAATTAGTGGTCTGAGATGGTTAATTGTTGTTGTGCCCCAAGCATAAATTCCATAGGTGAGATAGAGGTAAATAAGAGAGTGATATAGGGCCAGGAGGGCTGACTGTGGGACATAATACCGTATCTTCGATAGTATGCCTACAGTCTTGGAAATTTTCTTAGAAATTTGTTGTATGTGTATGAAATTTGAGTCTATTATCAAGGTGGATTCCTAAGAATTTTCCCTCTGTTAGCTTTGTGATAGGTGATCCGTTTATCATTATGTTAAGTGGGACATCTGTAGCTCTGTTACCAAACTGAATGAAGTAGGTTTTGTCAATGTTTAGTGCAAGTTTGTTAGTCCTCATCCAGGTAGATATTTTCTGTAATTCGGTATTTGCAGTATTGGCTAGCATGACTGGGCTCGGGTGAGAGAAGACGTATATAGTGTCATCTGCAAATAGTGTGGGTTTGAGTAATTGTGAAGCATTTGGTAGGTCATTTATGTATAGGAGAAAGAGAAGAGGGCCAAGGACACTTCCCTGTGGGACACCAACTGTAATTGGTTGTGTGGAAGAGTTTGCTCCATTTGCGGTGTGTGCAATGTGGACTAGGGTGCAAGTTTTTGTAGAGAAACACCACACTGACCAAGCTGAAACAAGCCATATTTGCAACATGTTCAGTGACAAAACGCTGTCCCACTTCAGGGAAATCTTAAAGAGATGCCAGAAACGGACCTCGATGTACAGATTTGTTGTGAGGCAGGGGTCCAGTGACTCTCAAGCTGGTCCTAGTGGCATTAAAAGATAAAGAAGGGAAGTAACCCTGGAGAAGGCTTTGCTACCTAAAGTCTTCATGGAGGGGGATTTCCCTTCCCAACACTAACTCCTCCCTCTTTCCTCTTCCCTATCTTCCAGAAGTCAGCATTACCCTTCAATAAAGGTATGTAAAACTTACATAATTGTTAAAAAAAATATTTTTTTGTGAATATTTTTGTCTGGAACGGATTAATTGTATTTCCATTAATTCTTATGGGAAATATTAATTCGGCTTTCGGCCATTTCGGTTATTGGCCGACCTTCTGGAACAGATTACGGCCGATAACCGAGGGTCAACTGTATTTCTATTGCATTTGTAGTGTTAAGCATTAATATATCAGGACAGTGAACTACAATTACATATGCACTTTATTTTTGTCAGCTCTGTTGGTATGCAAAAAAGTTGTTTGGCTTTTTGGGGGTTCTTAAGAACGTAACCCTATTTTTCCCGTAAGTTCTTCAGTTTATCTAACATGGTTTTACCTAACACAGTGTTTTCAGGACCGTAACTACCATGTTAAATGACGGCCTACTGTAACAGTGTTTGTTCATTTACTTTTTATTTTTGTTTGTTTGCCTAATTATTTACTTTTTATTTACTTCTGTTCATGTAAAATCCAGCCATTAATGTTATCAAGGTATGAATGTTGTCAACTATTATTTCCCTTACACTTTGTGTTATTATGGTACAGTATATCTATTTCTTCACTGTGTATCAGGATAAGCAACACAGCATTTTTCAATACAAATGTTAAAACTTGTTATGGTTTAATAGTGTTATGCTTGATTTTTCTTCCATTCTGCAATGTGGCACATTTATAATACCTTATAACTTTTTTCCACAGTTAAATCCCTTCTCATTGACACAGATGACCTGGTTTATTTTCAGTATCGTAAGCCTGTGAGTGCAAACAGTGAAGATGCTGGTGTGGTGCCACAGCGTAATGTGCCCATGAATGCTAGGGACTATGTGGAAAGCTTACACCAAAATAACAAAGCAACTCTGCTCTACGGCAAGAACAATGTTCATGTACAACCTGTAAGTTACCTGCAGTGTTACATTTCAGTAAAGGTCCGACAAGGAAATAGGATAGCATATAAATCAGCAAGCGTGCGTGAGCGTGTTAAATAGGAGTGAATGGAGATGAATGGTTTTTGGGACTTGACGATCTGTTGGAGTGTGAGCAGGGCAATATTTTGTGAAGGGATTCAGGGAAACAGGTTAGCTGGACTTGAGTCCTGGAAATGGGAAGTACAGTGCCTACACTTCAAAGGAGGGGTTTGGGATATTGGCAGTTTGGAGGGACATCTAAACTGTTGTATTTGAGTGCCTCTGCAAGGGCAGTGATGATGTATGATTGATGGTGAAAGTGTTGAATGATGAAAGTTTTTTCTTTCTTTTGGGTCACCCTGCCTCGGTGGGAAACTGCTGATGTGTTAAAAAAATCATTTTTTTTTGTTAACCAGTGAAAGTGAGCAGAGACTAAGTGCAAACAATTATAAGTTTCACTTACACATTTTAAGAGTCATTACACTGGAAAAATGCTGCATCAGCCATGTTTTTTAGTGTGTGTATTGTTATTTCTCAATCAAATAAGTGAATAATTAAATTGGTGCCATTAGGTTTATCATCTCTCTTGTTCAGAAAAAGCTTTCTCTTTTGTGTGTGTTTGTGTGTATGAGCACTGTCAGTAGTAGCAGTGTGGTTGCAGATTTGGTGGCTATAAATTGCTGTATCTCCAACATTATTTAATGTGCACCGTATGAAGCGAGAGTTTCATACGGTGAGTGTCAGGGTTCGATTCCCGGCAAAGGGGTGGAAACATTGGGGGTGTTTCCTTACACCGGTTGTCCATGTTCACCTGGGTGTTAGTCAACTGGTGTGGGTTGCATCCTGGGACAAAACTGACCTAATTTGCGACTTTTTGTATAGTAGAATGTCATTGATGTCAGCTAGGCCTGTATACCATGTACATGTATTTGTAGTAAATAAAGATATTAATTATTATTATTAATATATTAGTCTGATGCTGTGAATGCACAGTAGGCATAATATTATAAAGGATAAACTATAAATAATATCAGGGGTATTTACACTTGTATGTCCAGCTACTAGTGTATTGTGGTGGGGTTGTAAGTGTAGTGGAGCTCAGTGCATATTGCAAAAAATTATTCAAAAGATCATCCACATCTTGGAGGCTTGCAGGAACATCCCCATCCCCAGATTCCTCCACATCTGGAAGCCTGTAGTGGCATCTCCAGAATCCTTCATATCCTGGTGCCCTATAGTGGCATCCCTAGAATCCTTCATATCCTGGGGACCTGGAGTAGCATCCCCAGAATCCTTCAAGATCCTGCAGGCCAACAAGATCTTGAGAATTCTGAAGGTCTACAAGATCATCCCTAGGATTATAACATCTTGGAGATATGCAAGATTATCCCTAGGATTCATAACATGTTGGAGATCTTGGAGGTCTGCAAGATCATCCTCAGGATCCATACTATGTCATTTCTGGAGGTCTGTAATATCATCCTTAGGATTCACAACTTCTTGGGGATCCTGGAGTTCTGCAAGATCATCCCTAGGATTCATAACATCTTGGAGATCATGGAGGGTTGCAAGATCATCCTCAGGATCCAAAATATCTTAACATAAGAACAAAAGTGAGGTGAAAGTGTTGAATGATGATGAAAGTCATTCCTATCTTTTTGGGGATTTTCTTTCTTTTTGGGTCACCCTGCCTTGGTGGGAGACAGCCAACTTGTTAAAAAAAAAAAAACATAAGAAAGGAGGAACACTGCAGTAGGCCTGTTGGCCTATACTAGGCAGGTCCTTCTCATACTAGGCAGGTCCTTCATCTTGTGAATCCTAGAGGTCTGCAAGATCATCCCTAGGATTCATAACATCTTGGGGATCTTGGAGGTCTGCAAGATCATCCCTAGGATTCATAACATCTTGGGGATCTTGGAGGGCTGCAAGATCATCCCTAGGATTCATAACATCTTGGGGATCTTGGAGGGCTGCAAGATCATCCCTACGATTCATAACATCTTGGAAATGTTAGAAGCCTGCAGGATGATGATGATGATGATGATGATGATGATGATGATGATGATGATGATGATGATGATGATGATGATGATGATGATGATGATGATGATGATGATGATGAGATGATGATGATGATATGATGATGATGATGATTGATGATGATGATGATGATGAATGATGATGATGATGAGATGATGATGATGATATATCATCATCATCATCATCATCATCATCATCATCATCATCATCATCATCATCATCATCATCATCACATCATCATCATCATCATCATCATCATCATCATCATCATCATCATCATCATCATCATCATCATCTCATCATCATCATCATCAATCATCATCATCACATCATCATCATCATCATCATCATCATCAATCATCATCATCATCATCATCATCATCATCATCATCATCATCATCATCATCATCATCATCATCATCATCATCATCATCATCACACATCATCATCATCATCATCATCTTAAGTAAATTCTAAGAATATCTTCACTGAGAAATACACCACTGTTGAATATGCAGTGTAAGAGCTGCTGCAGTACTTTCCTGCAGTAGAGATATAACTAGTGGAATTCAGTTTCAGGTATATTTATCCCTTTGACTGTTTCGGTCGTATATATGTCTTACGAGCCACCATGTTTGACATATATATACATGTACTCATAAATTCTAGCGGCTTCAAATCAAGCAGGAGAAAGCTGGTAGGCTCACATGTGAGAGAATGGGTCTGTGTGGTCAGTGTGTACCATATAAAAAAAATCCTGCAGCACGCAGTGCATAATGAGAAAAAAAACTCCAACCACTTTTTTAATTAAAATGCCGACTTTGTGGTCTATATTCTTACAGTATTTATGGTTGTATTTTCATTTTCTTGGTCTCATTTAATAGAATGGAAAACATATAGAAAAGGAGGTGATTTTGATTGGTTTTACTATGAAAAGAACCTTGAAATGGAGCTCAAAGTAGGGGAAATGTTTGATTTTTGCCGATGTTCAAAAGTAAACAAATGATGTCATTTTCCAATAAATGTCCAAGTAGCCATTCTAATATGCAGTCATGAATGGGTTGACATTATTTATACAATTATTACAATATTGCAGTAGTCTGCATAACAGTAAATCTTCTCTTTTTTGTTTGAATAAAAATTCAAAATAGAAAGCAAGAGTAATATCAGAGGAGCCTGGAGACGTGACTGATGAACAAGAAAAAATGTTATTTTAGAGCCAGGAATGTCTGCATTGTTCATTCTGGACCAATACTAAGTAATAATTTTGTTTTGGCAACACACACACGCACACACACTCATATATATATATATACATATGCATGTATTTGCAGTTACCAAAATATTGTGCTAAAATCACTACCATCCTGTGAAAAGAATATTTTAATTAAATTTCAGATGAATACAATGATAAAAATATGTAATCTTTCGTATGTTAAGGTGATAAAGTTATTGAGAATGACTTCAAGTGAGAATGTCACTGCAACTCTAATTCTTCTTATATAAAAAACATACCATATAGTATATCTCAATGCTGGGAAAGATAATGGAAGCACAACTGTCATCATTCTTGAAAATTAACATGCAGTCGCTCAATACTATTAACCCTTAAACGGTCCAAACGTATTTATACGTTTTCTCATGTAGCACCCCAAATGTATATATATGTTTCCTTTGTCATTCATTCAACATTGGCATGATAAGCCTGAGTTGCCTAGACATGAGAGAATGGGTGTGCACACTCACTGTGCACCATATGAAAAAAATTGGGGATGACTGGGTAGCATATGCTCTTTTTTCCTATTAAAAAATACAATTTTTTTTTTCTCAAAAAATTCGGAGCGCAACGCGAGAGAACGTATACATACGTTTGGACCATTTAAGGGCTAATAACAAACAAATTTTAATAAGACAGAACTGCTCTCAAAGCTGGGTAGATAAAATATCAAAGTTAACTGGAGGTGTTATCAAAATATGTTCACTTACGAATTTTGATTCGATATCAGTCAGAAAATCAAATGTATAATCAATTAACATACTCTACTTGTATAATATTTTCAGCTACACTTTCAACTTACTAATTAACAATCCTACCGGATTGTTCAGTCACACGACTTACTGATTTATTTAGAATTTCATCTAAAAGATTTACATTGGCTCAACATTTTTTAGATACCTTACTGTGGATTTCAACTGTATCCCAAAAAAACAACTACTATCAGACTCTTGGAAATGAAGTCTGCAATCTTTACAAAATGTTACGTAAAGTCATTTTGTGGATGAATTCCTTAGGAATTCTTCGCTTGCCTAATTCTTGGGCACGACCTACTTCCACATTGAACAAATGTGACACGACCTATGACTGCTGCACCTCTCCTGCCATATGGTTTATAAGCTGCTTCTCCGCTCGTATGCCATATTCTATTCAAGATTGATGGACTGACCACATCGACTCAAGGCTGAGGGACTGATTACCTCATTCTCCTCCTGTTCTTCAAGTTTATCCTTTGTATGGACTGATGAAGCCACTGTGTGGCAAAATGTTTCCTCAGTAAAGATACCCAAGAGTTGCACATGTGTCTAATTTAACAACGTGTCGGTTCTTTGAACTATTCATCTTCAATCTTGTCAGACACTGCAACTTCTTGGGATCTTAATACTTGGGAATTCTTCGCTTGCCTAACCCTTGAGCACGACCTACTTCCACATTGGACAAATGTGACACCACCTACAACTGCTGCACCTCTCCTGCCATGCGGTTTGTAAGCTGCTTCTCCACTCATATGCCGTATTCTATTGAAGATTGATGGATTGACCACATCGACTCAAGGCTGAGGGACTGATTACCTCATTCTCCTCCTGTTCTTCAAGTTTATCCTTTGTATGGACTGATGAAGCCACTGTGTGGCGAAACGTTTCCTCAATAAAGATACCCAAGAGTTGCACATGTGTCTAATTTAACAAAGAGATAATTGCAAAGTTCGAAAGTGGAGTGCGTGTGTTGGAGCTGGCCAGGTGTATACAAAACCCCAATCAACCATCTCTACTATAGTGACCAGGAAAACGGCAATCAAGGAAGCTGTTGTTGCAAAAGGCGCAACTGTGATTACAAAACAGCGGCCGCAAGTGTTAGAAGATGTTGAAGACTGTTATTGGTGTGGATAAATGAAAAACAGATAGCAGGAGATAGCATCTCTCAAGCGATCATTTGTGAAAAGGCTAGGCAGTTGCATGACGATTTGGTAAAGAAATTGCCTGCAACTAGTGGTGATGAGTGAATTTAAGGCCAGCAAAGGTTGGTTTGAAAGATTTAAGAATCATAGTGGCATACATAGTGTGATTAGGCATGGTGAGGCTGCCAGTGACTCTCAAGCTGGTCCCCAGTGGCATTAAAAG